GAATAAGACGTTTTTGGGTAGGAAATGACGTTTTTTCACACCAAGAGGGAGGTTTTCTCTTGCCGAAGACCTGGCAACACTGTGTAGCCCCCATGTGTAGTATTATTTGTTAATACTATGTAAAATTGTAGTTTTATTAAATTCTGTATTTAATATTTAAATATGGAATAATGTATTAATGGAAAAAGAAATTGAATTTTAACCAGCTCGTCGTACGTCTTGTCGGCTTCGCGTTTTTCGTTCAACTCCTCGTTGCTCGTACTTTCCTCTCTTGGTGCCACATAAAAGGTGTTGCCAGACTTATTCCCACATATATATATATATTTTTTTTTTCTTATATGAGAAAGGAAGTCGGTTTTGTTTTTTGCTAAAAATTACTTGTTATTTAATAAATTCAACAAACCATCAAAATGAAAATTTTCTCATCTTTTTATGTTCTTATTTAGTTGTGTTCTCTTTTATCTAAACGCTTACAGTCCTTTCCTCGGGAGTTGCATTTGAATAGTACAATAAATTTAAAAAAAGTCGGACTTGTTAACATTTCACCTTGATAAAAACATAGTAAGGTAAAACCGTTCCCTCCGGCCATAATTTTTTGAAGTTTGCCAGCACTTCAAAATCATATAAAATTGATAATAAAAAAAAATTGTTCAAAGTTTTTGTTGTTTGAGGTTGAAATTGTGAATGTATGTGTGAGTTTGTATTTTAAACTTTAAAATTAAATTGCTTGCAAATGTCAAGAATTTTAAAAGTGCCTCTCAGCGATTTTACCCATGGTGGAATTATATACCGGTGATGTCGCTAGATAGCATAACTGTAAATTTTGACATTACCCGCTGCCTTATTTTCAGTGATACCCCTTAGCATATTTCACATAAAATTTCCATAGGAATTTTACTACTTTTCGATTTTCACAATATAAATATGCGTTGGCCCTACCGGTCTTATTTTACAATTTCTTTCATCTTAATTCAATTTCTTAAATTTATTTTGTTTGGAAATTTTCATTTAATTTGCAACTGATGTAAGTAGAGATATTTTACTAATTTTCATAGCTAATTCTCAATTTACGCAGTAACCACCAGTGTTGCCGCGAATCATTTTTAGTGGTAGCCAAATTCCTTTAAAAAAGGGCTAAAAAAGAGCTAAAAACAGTCGTTGTGGCTAAAAATGGTAGCTAAAATTGTTTACTTACATATACATATATAAGTATACACGTAAACATTTTTAATAGGTAATGGTATAGAAAAACAATGAACTCTGGAAAAAAGTGAATATTTTATCCAACCAAAACCTTTTTGTATAAGTAAAATGGGGAAATATACGACACCAGCATGCTGGCTCGATCAAGTGATTGTACCATCAGGCTCGAAGCCTATAACTTACCAGCTTGCTGGCTTGGTACAATATTTATTTCGTTACAACTGAGATCGAGGAAAGATCGCAATAACTAAGAGCCGAAAATTCATAATTTTTCTACCATTTTGTTAAATATTGTTTTTTTTTGTAATTCAAAACTGCAATATCGTGAACTTAATATTCCACAAACACGGCTTTGACTGCAAGAAATTTCCGCCAAAATATATTTTACTTAGAAAATTGAGCTACTTTCACCACTCACAACAATCATAAAATTTTCAAATAGTTTTTGAAGTCGCACTAGCACACCACAAGAACATACACGGTCAATCGCCTTGATGGGCCATTTAACAAATTAAGCGTATTAAGGGCTAGTTTTTCAGTGCACGGCCGTGGTTTACACTAAGTTTAAACGCCCGATCTGGCTGGTTTAAGCTAAGATCAGCCAATCAAATGTCAGCCGGCTGTTCAATTTAGCGAGCGAAAATTAACTCAGTTTACTTAATCTGAGTTTAAACTGGCACTGAAAAACTGGCCCTAAGGGCCGTAAACTTATCTATTTTAAACTATAGTTAAATCTTTAATAGATAAGTTAACAGCCCTAAGACTTTTACAGTATGTATGTATAAAAACGTAAGAAACATACAATACATATATGAATATATATCAGTCTTTCTTAGTTTAAAAATTCATCTTACAAAAAAATTAGATCAAATTAAGCATATACAACTTTTTCATGCCAAGTATGAATAAATTCTCCGAAAAGCTAAAAAATGGATAGGGGCAATTTTAAATTTATGTGGCCAAAAAAAGTATGTGGTAGCTAAATCTAGCCACCAAAGGGCTAAAACGGCAACACTGGTAACCACAGCAACTTCCATGGGAAGGCGAAGCAGAATGTTCCTGGACCTCGTTTCGGGCTTTTTTTTCAAAGCATATGAGGTCGGTTGTTTGTAACGAACGATCCATCAACAATCGTACGCAGGTTCCATATTTTCGCAAATCTAAAGTATTTGAAAAGCGGTTTCACACAATCCCGTTGCCGTCCAACGGCCGAGTTTTCGGCAGAACATAAGTAGATATGCGAATGTACCTACGTATGTACTTATGAATGATTGTGAAGTTGTTATGGTTTTTACAGAAGCCGCTGTCCGGTTGCATACATTTTGTGTTGACAAACCTACTTTGAATTCTGTATATGCTTTTATAGAAGTGTTCTAATTTGACGTGTTGCGCTTTAGATATATCTTAGCACTTGACCATTAGATTAAGGAATTTACTGTGACAACCTTACAGCAAATAAAGAGTTTCTGCTACAGCAAAATCTGGCGCGTATATGCTTCCTTTGTGTGTGTTTTCTTTAAAATTTCTGTAGTGCGATTCACTAACTTTTAACAATACGATTTGTCGAGTTGCCAGCTAACAATTTTTGTTGTTTGCAGTAACGATTGTGGGATTCCCTAACTGTGCTGCCGCTGATGGCCACAAATCCGTTGCATATACCAAGGCGCTCGTGTGTGCAGTCATTTTATATGGAAGAAAATGCGCAACACCCTAAAAAAAAAAAAATAAAAAATCAACGGCAACTTTTAGAATTGAAACTTGTACTTTATCAAACTAAATGTGAATGGGCTACACAACTGCATACCGGAAAATCTTATAAAGATTCTGAATAAAAATTTCGAAATATTTGTCAAAACTTTTTTAAGTTTGATTTATTTTTGTGAATTTTGTGCAAACTTTGAAACTTTTATTTATGTGGTTTCTGATATATAGTAGATGGAACTATTAAAAATAAAATTATTAAAAATATTTGTTTTTGTTATTTTTATGGCCTTATAACAATTATATTCAACAATTTTTATGAGCTTGAGGCCGTTTTAAAGTGAAAACTTATTGTGGAAAAGCAAAATAATTTGAAAAAATGGTAGAAGTGATAGCTATTTCGGAAATCACCACATTTCCTCATCAGACTTCTTTCAGTAGGATTCGAACCGACGATCGCCACTGACTCAGCCAGTTGCCTACGCACTGTGCTAAGTTTGTCTTGTTAATTCTTTTTGCTTATTTTCCACTATTTCAGTTTGCTAAGCCAACTACAATCAAGCGCAGCTATTCCGCTGCAATTCACTTGATCATGTGGTTGTTGGTTTTGTTGGTTTTTGTTAATATTTCTATTATTAGAATGTTTAACTTTTTAGGTGTGCTCGTCCTTAAGTTATTTGTTTTTGTTATTTTTATGGCCTTATAACAATTATATTCATCAATTTTTATGAGCTTGAGGCCGTTTTAAAGTGAAAACTTATTGTGGAAAAGCAACAATAATTTGAAATAATGGTAGAGTGATAGCTATTTCGGAAATCACCACATTTCCTCATCAGACTTCTTTCAGTAGGATTCGAACCGCCGATCACCACTGACACAGGCTGGCTGACCACAGCAGCCTTTGTTATCGTTAACGACAACAGCTGATTTGGCGCTAACGAATGTTGTTAGGGAAACGTTTATTGAATAGCTAAATTGTTAAAATTGTCGTTTAGTTGACTTAACAATAACAAAGTTGTTAAAATCGTATAATATATTATTAGTGTTTTTAGAGTTTGGATAGCTATTGCATTAGCATGAAAGCGCGACTAATGCAATAGGAGCCTTGGTTTGTAAAGCGAGGCTCAAAACTCGGCAGACGAGCAATTAATGCCCTTTTTTGAGTTCAGTAAAATAACAAGACAAACAAGTTCAAGTATAAAACTGAATCTGAGTTTTTATTATAAATTTTCCAACTTATATACTAATTTACAAATTATCTAGCAATTTCTGGAGCAAGTGAAAATACTCATGTTTCACTTCGCTGTATGTCTTTGGGTATATGTATGAAATGTTTGTTTACCATATGTGTCATGATATTTATGTGTGTCATAGTTAATTATGGAAAGCAATATCTTAGGGATTTGTTTTCTTGGTTTTTACAAATGTTTGTTTTTTGGTTGTTTCTTACAAAAATATTGTGTGATGTTTTTGTGGAAAAACTGAAATGACTGTACATCACACCCTTACCCTTAAGATAAAATTTATGAGATTTTGAATAAATTTAAATCTGGTTACAAATTAATAGTTTTGATCTTTTTTGATTTGTATAATTAATGTATTGTTTTGTTAAAGTATTATAAATGTAAATGTATCTGATACGATCTTATTTTTTTTTAAAGAATATATATATGTATTTTATTTATTTTATTATTTTTATTCTTTTTGTACAATTTTAATTAATTATTATGGAATAGTCTTTCTTTACTATTTATTTCTAATATTGAATTACAATTTTGTCTTTCTAGTATTCTATATGGACCAATGTAGGGACTCTGATTTTTCTTTCTACTCTCTAGTTTTACTAGTACTAAGTCTCCTACATCAAAAGAACTTTTTATAATCTTCTTATCATATTCTAGTTTAGATTTTTCTTTTGCTATATTTATTAAATTTTTAGCGTTATCTAATGCTCTCTTAATCCTAGTCCTAAGTT